TGAAATCATGACATTTGCAGGCAAAAAAAAAAGGGGGGGGGTTGCAACTGGAAGTCATTATGTTAAGCAAAAATAAGCCAGTCTCCAAAAGACAAATCCCATGTGTGTTTTTCCTCATGTAGAAGCTAAATTTGAAAGGGTGTGTGCTTGTGTATGTCTCACAAAATTAGAAAAGGGATCATGAGAGGAAAAGATCTTAAGGGAAGTGGGAAGAGTGAGTGGAGTGCTGGAATCCACGTAACAGGAAAGCTGAAGCGAAGACGAGGTGAGGGAGGACAGCGGGAGATGTGAGCAAGTAAGACCAAAGTATCATGTCACAAATGTACGAAGATGCTGCAGTGAAACCCATTACTATGTCTACGAACTTAGCAGTTTTTAAATACTAGGTTAAAGAACTATGTTGACATATGAAAACATTCATGTTACATATTTCCTTTATTTTAAAAGGTTATATCAATGCATATGCACATATATACATATACAGTTAAAGGAAGTACTACATAACGTGTATAGACATATACATATGTGTGCAGATGCATGTCCATGTGGTAATTCAGCATCTCACTGCTTGTTTTGGCCTTTGTGGTGTGTGTGCATTCTGGTGTTGTGCATCATGTGTGTTTTCCATGTCTTCCAAGTTTCTAACACTAATCAGGAGCTATTTTTGTAGTTAGGGAAAAACTGAAGGGTTGGTTTTTTGGGTTTTTTGTTTGGTTGTTTGGTTGGTTGCTCTTTCCCCGCCTTTGACTTATTTGAAGAATTACAGCAGGCACAAAGAAGAAAACAGTAGCCGCATGCCCACACCCAGGGCTGAGGCCCAGCTGTTTTTCTCTCAGCCCATGTAAATATATATATTTATTTAACACCACTGAAATATTGGTCATCTTTCAGACAGAGATAATGGCTGGCAGGGGATCTTCTTCCCATCCCTCTCACCCTCCCCTTGAATTTTCAGTGAGAGATTTCTAAGCAAGCAAAGCTGTAGATTTAAGAGCTCCTCATAGTAAGCTAGGAAGTGGGAAGGCTCCATTTGGGTGGTGTGGCTGTGTACCCATTTCCCGGTGTGATCCAAGTGGTCATGACAGCATCTTTTCCCAGTCTGGGACAGGAAATAAGGAGTATAGATTGAGAGAACTAAGAGACAGCCATGTGTTGGTTACATAGGAAAGAAGACGAAAGAAAAATCAAGATCACATTATTGGGCACATTGGAATGAAAGTTTCTCCTCCAAAACAGAACCTAGAGCAAGAAAGGTACAAGATGAGCCAGAGTGTCATAGCTAAAGGAAGTACCACATAACCCAGGCATGTGCTCACACACTGGTGGGAATATGTCAGAGTGTCGTAGCTAAAGGAAGTACCACATAACCCAGGCATGTGCTCACACACTGGTGGGAATATGTCAGAGTGTCATAGCTAAAGGAAGTACCACATAACCCAGGCATGTGCTCACACACTGGTGGGAATATGTCAGAGTGTCATAGCTAAAGGAAGTACCACATAACCCAGGCATGTGCTCACACACTGGTGGGAATATGTCAGAGTGTCGTAGCTAAAGGAAGTACCACATAACCCAGGCATGTGCTCACACACTGGTGGGAATATGTCAGAGTGTCATAGCTAAAGGAAGTACCACATAACCCAGGCATGTGCTCACACACTGGTGGGAATATGTCAGAATGTCATAGCTAAAGGAAGTACCACATAACCCAGGCATGTGCTCACACACTGGTGGGAATATGTCAGAGTGTCGTAGCTAAAGGAAGTACCACATAACCCAGGCATGTGCTCACACACTGATGGAAATATGTCAGAATGTCATATAGCTAAAGGAAGTGCCACATAACGCAGGCATGTGCTCACACACTGATGGGAATATGTCAGAGGGTCACAGGAACTAACTGCGAAGCTGTCAGTGGCCAGACTGAAGCTGTTCTTAGTATCAGAGTAAAGCAGTATTGGATCATGACCCCGAGTATAAAATACCCACGAGTCTATGCTGATATGAATGACGGACTAGATGAGTAAAATAAATGGTGGTTCCCTAGTGGAAAGGAGCTGTGGGGGGGGGGGGGGGGGCCACAGTGGGGAGCCTTTGAAGCGCTCACTTCCTCAGCCTGTGGCTCAGTTGAGGGCAGCAGGGGTATATCATGTCTGCAGTGCCTCTGTGAGGAGATGTGAGGAGAATGACTCTCCTTTTTTAAGATTTATTTATGTGTCTGTGTGAATGTATGCCACATGTGTGTGGGTGTCTGCCAGGGCCAGAGGAAGGCATCAGATCCCCTCAAGCTGGAGTTGTAGATGGCAGTCAGCTGCCCCATGTGGGTGATGGGAACTGCACTCTGGTCCTCTGAAAGAGCAGTCAGTACTCTTAACCCACCCAGCCATCTCTTCAGCCCCCCAAATCCCAAGGGGTGTGGGGGAGGCATTCTAGCTATAAAATTCCCGACCAGGGCCCCTTAAAAAAAAGGGGCCTCAAAGCCAAGAGAAGTCTTGACATTGTCACACCAAGAGGCAGTTAAGGAGTAAATATAGTGTGCTAACCTGCATGGGATCCTGGTTCTGCAAAGGGCATTAGGGAGAGATTAAGGTAGCTGAATAAAGCAGACTTTAATATGTCGCTCCAGGGACATTAATCATGACTCATGGACCATACTAATATAAGATGTTCATAAGGGAGAACAGGATAGGAGACACAGTACTTATGATACTTCACAATTTTTCAGAAAATCTAGAATAAAAGTCTATTTTACTTAAAAGGTATTGTAGCAGGTGCCCGTGTGTTTGGAGCTAGCAAGTTGAAAAATAATGGTCTGATGAAATCCTGTCCGATCCATTACTGTCATCAGTAACTACGGTGGAGACCTGGCTCTGTCTGCATATAAATGGTTGCCCTTGTGCTAAAACACCCGGTTCCACACAGGCTCTCCTCCATTTGTAGGTTCCTTAGCCATCAGTCCCAACTGGTCCCACAGACTTTGAGACTCTGGAAATCAAGTACCTAGAACAGTTCATGAGAAAGACACTGAACTGTGAGTGGCAGAGAGAAGCAGGGGCCCTAGGGAAGTGCCGCAGTGACTCTGGGCCTGCCATCGAGTCTTTTGAGACCTGTTTCCTTCCTGCAGCATGAGAGGGTTAAAGTGGGAAAACCTTCTCTGATGCCATGCTGCTCTAAAAGGCCTGTGACTCTAAGGTGAGGTTACAGAGGCCGTGACCCTGCAGATGACGGCCACCAACTCTAGCTTCCTTGCCCGTGGTCTGTCGTTCCAGACTCTGAGGCTACTCAGGGTTCTTCAGGATCCTCTGCCCACTCCTCACATTCCTGGGGTGTAGTTCCCTTGTAGATAAGGAGGAGAGCCAGCTAGCCCAGCGGGTTTCCTAGTGGAAGAAACTGAGTTTCAGAGAGACTCATTTGTTCAATGGTAAACCAGTGGTGACCTGCTTCCTGGTCTCGCTCGTCCCTCTGCCGCTTCTTTCCCACCGAACCCAGGTGTGCGTGGCCTCCAGAGTGTTGCTGGGGTACTTGTTCATCAGCCGTCGACTCCAGTTCCCAATCTTAGGGAAAGTGATGGGGGCTGGGTCAGAGAACCCAGCTCCTCCCCACACCCAGCTTTTTCCCCTTTAGGTCTGAGAAACTAAACAACAGTCGTGTGTGTGTGTGTGTGTGTGTGTGTGTGTGTGTGTGTGTGTGTGTGTGTGTCCCCGCTTTCAGTCCCACAGCAAGCCTTTTCCCATCTGATGATGATGGCACAGCCCAAGACACTTCGTTTTCAGCCAGATCCCAAAGGGTTAACTCTCCCAAATTATGGGGCTGGGTTAACAATAAACAGGATGTCCTTCAGAAATTAAATTTAAACCACCGTGACTCAGGCCAGCCCATCCCCTCAACCAGATCGCTGTCTGGGGGTTATTATCGGTGGTTAATTATACCGTTGGGGTTAGCAGCAGTGTTGGTCAACTTGGGCCAGGTGGAGGCGGACGCGGGAGAATGACTAAAAGGAAGGATGGGAATGGAGCCTAAGGGTTGGTCAGAACAGCATTGGCACCATCAGCCCAGAAGCCCAGAGGAGAGTAATGAGAGGCTGTTTGGGGGGCTTCTAACCAGAGCTGGTCCCTAAGTCACTTCCGACCTAGGGACAGGACAGGTAGGGGAGACACATTACCATTTCTTTCACCACGGGGACGAACCTTGTCAACGTTCTCAGCTGGCCACCAACATAAACTAACAGCGTCCCTGTCCTGTCCTCAGGACCTGGAAGAGATCTCTCAATTGCCTGTGTCAATCCGCTCACTCCTGAGAGCAAGAAGGGGCCCCAGGGCAGCCGCTAGAGGCATAGAGCAGCCTGCTGGAGTAGATGGAAGCTGGGCTGCTGCTCCACTCCTGAGCCCCAGCCCCGTGATCTCCCTTATGTTAGGTCCAGCCTCTTCCAAATTAACATGGGAACCTGGTAAGCAAGCTTCTTAGCAAGTTCAAGGCAGGCTTGGGCAGATTCTTTACCAAGTCTGCCCCATTTCATCCTGTCTGTTTTTTAGCCACTTATAAATACCCCTTGATTTATCCTCTTTCCTTAGCATCCCCAGAAACCCTACAAGATACATTGTAGCCCCTGTGGGGACAATGAATACGCCTTACAGACAATGAGAGATGTTTGTGGGCTTTTTTTAAGGACAGATTTTCAAGAACGATAGCTGTTATAAGGAGCCATGTTTCTCAATTAGTTCCTCAAAGCAAGATTTGCAGAGCCTCAAGATGTCTCCCTTCCCCCACTTTTCCAGTGTGTTTTTAAGTGACAGACTGCTAATGGGAATGACCAAGAGCTGGCATGGAGCATGATCTGTCCCAGAACCAAACTGGGTGCTGTTGCCTCACATGCCCCAGGAGGACGGTTGGGGGGGAGGGGCCAATTGTTCATACCCTCCATGCCTCCCCTCTATGCACCCCTCCTACCGTCCAGCCTTTCCCATGTCTCACAGCATCCCTCTTGTCTCTCCCTCTTACAGGATCCCATTTAAGATCGGGCAGCCCAAGAAACAGATTGTCCCCAAAACAGTGAGTAACGCAGTTCTTATGCCCTGGGATTCAATTGTGCCTCACATCACCTCTGCATGGAACCTCAGCCTTCTGGGTATTTTCTCTCTCAGGACTGGAGATTGTGAACTGGGGCTTCTGGCATACTAGACAAGTGCTCTGTCAGTGAGCTAATTCTCAGGCCAGAACCTGAGCATTGACAATGCACATTTGGGAGCTGGAAGGTCAGCACCCTGGGTCTTGTTCCCAGTCATATGGTTCTAGAACCAGGGTCCTGTTGGTTGCTTCCCCAAGTTTGGACAGGTGTAGATGCTTCACATCTGAGTGATCCTATTCCTGGGAGAACTCTGGAGCACACAGTACTCCCCGAATATACCTACCATGATAGTGCCCAAAGCCTTTCTTTCTAGCCACCTCAACTACATAAAAGGCCAGGCAGCTTCTCCAGTTGGCGCACATCTTTTTGTTTGCACAGATTGGTATGTCTGCCATGATCCAGTCACTCTGTGCAATGGTAGCACCTACCCACCTTTGAACTCGTGATGTTTATCCCTGTTTTCTGTCTAAAATGGGAGGGGAAGAGCCACAGATCCTGGAACATTAGAGTAAAAGCCCATGGACCTCATCTGGCCCACTGTCTGTTTTTCCATAGAGTGATGGAGATGTTGTAGATCTGAAAATCCCCTCCTGGAGAGCTGCAGTTAGCATTTGGGTCTGTGGCTCTGGTCACTCTTCATCTATCAGCACTCTGTGCTGCTCCTACAATGCAGCCCCCCATCTGTCCCGAGTAACCTCTGCAGCCGCTCACACACAAGTGAGGCCCTGGGGTCTTTTGCTCTTGTTTTTCTTTTTCTTTTTAAGATTTATTTTATATGCATTGGTGTTTTGCCTGCATGTATGTCTATGTGAGGGTGTCAGGTCCCCTATCACTAGAGTTACAGACAGTCGTGAGCTGCCATGTTGGTGCTGGGGTATGAACCTGGGTCCTCTGGAAGAGCAGCTGGTGCTCTTGACCCCTGAGCCATCTCTCCAGCCCCCAAGGCCTTGGTTTTTAACATGAGGAAAAGCATACTCTGTCCTGACAGCTCAAGGTCCAGGACTGTCTCTACAGTGGAGGCTCCTATGCCCGTCCTCTGAGATCCGGCTGTCCTCTTTGTCTCTCTCCTTCTCTCCTTGGCTCCACTGCAGAGCTAGAGAAAAAGAGCCTGCTTCGGTTTGGCAGGAAGTCCAGCTCATCTAACCAATGCCTCTACCTTCAGGAAGTCCAAAGCTAGGTCACAGGAAAGGAGCTGGGCTCAACTTAAAAGAGTCGCCCTCTGCCTCATGCAAAGGCCGGTTGTAACAGACTCAGTGTCGCCTCCGTGACTGACCATCTGTGGAGCCTCTCAGCTAAGACCCAGAAAGTCTGGGTGTGCGAATGCTGGGCTCCAAGAAGTGGAGGGTGTGGCTATGAGCCCCCAGAGAGTAATCCCAGCAGACCCAAAAGAGAAGTGGTTTTGAAAAGGGTCTTTTTTTTTCCCAACTTTGTTCACCACCGCAAACAAGAAAACAAAAACCCCTCCCTCCACCGAGACTTTCATCTTTCCTCGATGGAGCTTTGATCCCCACAGAGCAGGATGGGCCACAGTGCACTTCCCAGCTCCTTGCCAGAGAATGTTGGTGGAAAAGTCTTGGTTCCTGGGGGGAGGGGGCTAAAAGGGAGGAATTGTTTATTTTGGCTTATGGTTCCAGGGATGTCAATCCATCGTGGTAGGGGATCCTAGATCCTTTACTTTGAGGAATAGCAAAGATTCCCAGGGAAGAACAGGACCCTCCCCCACCCCATAACTTCCCATGACCCTTCCCTATGCTGTCTATGTCCTTGCTGGGGACTTGTCATCCTTTAGTCTGTGCTGTCCCCTCCCCCAAATTGAGCAAGTGTCCAGTAGTTGTTAAGGAGCTAGGTTAGAGACTGACTTCCTGGATTCCTACCTAGCTCTGCCTCTGTGTTATCTGTGACTTTTGCCACATGCCTTAGCCTCTTCGAGCCTTAGCTTTCTTGTGTACAAGGTAAGGGTAACCCCAGTACTTTTGCCACGTAGGACGAGTCCCACACAAGCCAATGCATATAAGGCACTTAGTCCAGTGTCTGGACTGTAAGGAGCCCCCCGACAGCTGGTCTGGCTTCCTCCAAAGCCATCAAGGACTCGGCCTGTCTCAGCAGCTCCACTCCGCAGTGCAGTGAAGTTGTGGACTAGGCCTTTGATCTTTCACCAACAATGAAAGCCGAGGGATGGCTTAGAATGGAGTTTTCATCTGCTCAGCCTATTCCCCTCAGCTCCCAGGTGCTTCAGCATAGGTAACAAGACCCTGCCCTTTCTGGATGGGTTCTTGCTCACCTCTCTACCCCTAGCACAGGCCTGGGCTGTGCAGATGTCTCCAAATCTCTGGCAGCTGTCCCTGGACGCTGGTGACGCACTATGGATAGGAACAGATGTGGCTGCCCAGGTTATTGGAAGTCATGGCACCCCTGTCATGGGAAGAAATGTTCATGTTATCTTCAGGGAGTCTTGGGAGGTTTTTGGCTCAGAGTACCCAGCTCCCAGCCACAAAGAAAACATTGTCTTTGCTCTCTCTCCCTGCCTGTGTTCAGGTTCCCAACCTGAGACTGTGGCAGAAATGGTGTGTTCTTTGCAGGGGCTGACCATTGACACTGTGACAAGGCCCACAGCTCCTACCTCCTGATCCAACTTCTGTTAGTCCCCTCTGGAGCCTCAGAGTGTCTTAGCATGGAGAAAGAACACAAACCCAGAAACACACACACACATCACATACAGACATACAGACACACGCACATACACACCACACACATACATATACACTCACAGCACACATACATACTCACCACAGACACTACACATACATACACACACACCACATATATATACATCACATACATACCACCACACATACTACACACACACACACACACGCACACGCACACGCACACGCACACGCACACCCTCTCTCATGGAGAACAAGGGAGCTCTTGGAGACACTGTTTCCCATGCCCTCCAAGCAAGGGTTCCCTAGGTCTTGTGCACATAGGAAGACACAAGCCAAGGTCCCTAGCCAGGGAGGTGCATTGCAAAACCGGGGCAGAGACAAGTAGCCACACCGAGCCTCTCCAGTGGGGGAAGATTCCAGACTTCAGCCTCTCTAATCCCCGCTAGCCCCGGAGCGTACTGAGGGAGGATGCTGTCCACCCGTAACATCCTCTGTGTGGCTCTCAGAATGCTTTCTCTGCCTCACTTTGACCTGACACGCCTCAGCCTTGGCATCCAGAGCCCCAACCCTGCCTGCGGCCTCCTTTTCCCCTTGACCAGGAATTCGAGTTTGGAAGGAGCTCAGCTGGTTCCCTCACTTAGCAAATGCCGAGCTCTTGCTGGGCAGGCTAGCCTAGGCATTGCCCTTGCACCCTGGACCCGGGAGAATGTAGGGAGCATCATCTGGGGCTTGGTTCTCCCTAGGCTACCCTTCAGCAGCCCGACCCAGCCCGATCCCCTGACAATCCATGCACATGTGTTTACACTTGCGTTGTTGACTGGCCTCCAGTTGCCTTTTGGCAAAGGTACCAAGCATTCAAAAATGTTCAGATCTTTTCCACTTGGCTCTTCCCCTTAGAAGACACGCACCTCGGAATGTAACTCCAGTGTGTCCCTCTATTCTGTTAGCTGTAATCTGAGGGCCTTGAATTCTGGTCCTACCCCAAGTGGTTCTGTCTTCTGGGGAGAAAGATGAGGGACCCATGAGCTGCACCATGGCTCCTGGAATCAGGAGAGGTGGTGTTTCCAGGCTCCTGTGAGGTGGCCTTGAGTGGCACCAAGCAGAAAGAGCATGTGGCCACCCTGACAGCTTCTGTTCCCAGACTGTGAGCTTCTGCTCCCCCTGAACAATCCCACCTGGCTGGGAGCTTGAAGGCCCCTTTGTACAAGTCCAAGCAGTCCCCAGCCAGGCAGACCAGGTGCTCTCTGACATCCCACACACATCAGCACGCTCAGGCATTGCAAAAGAGAAGAAGGCTAGGAGCCAAAGGCAGCCACACAGGGGCGCAGCCCCCACCACCCCAGAAGAGCAAGGGCCTAGCTGTGTCTCCAGGAGAGTTTGGTTCTGGCCAAGAAACACTTAGTTTTCATTTTATCCTTTTGGAAGTAAATGCTAATATGAAGAAAAAGACGACACTCAGCAGCCGCGTCCTGTGGACTATGAAGGCCACAGCTATGTGGTACTGCCTAGCATGAGGTTCCATACTTAGCCACATCAGGGCTTACTGGCTGCCATTTCTCAAGTCCTTTTGGCTGCTGCTCTGTGCATCCCGGTCTGCATCTCCAGGCTGCTGTGGCCCTCCCATGCCCAGCAAACGAGAAAAGAACATGGATGTGCGTTCTGTAATCACCACTGTGGGCTGGGCACCTAGCCATGTGTTATCTTCCCCCGAGCAAGTGAGACAGCGAGGTCAGAGCAGTGACAAGTGCTCAAATGACCAATGAGCAATGAGCACGTGGCTCCAAGATACCAGACTATTGACTTCCAAGTCCATCTCTCAGCTGCCTCTGTTCACTCCTCTCCACTGACTTCCTGCACCACATGCTGGGGAGGCAGGTAACTAGGCTAGGTCACCCCTTTGATCTCATGACATGGCATTGTCGTCTACAAAGTTCACTTTCAAAAACCACACAATCAAGTCACTGCTCCCCACTAAAGTGCAGGCCAGCACGGTGGCTCTGGGGTAGAAGTGCTTGCTCTGTAGACTTGACAGCCTCTTATCACCAGACCCACAGGACAAAGAGAACCAGTTCCTAAAAGTGTCCTCTGACCTCCTGGGTACACTCTGCCTGTGCTCACATATACATCATAAACACAATTATAATGAATTGGGGAGGGGGTTTGTTTGTTTGAGACTGGGTTTCTCTGTGTAACAGCCCTAGCTGTCCTGGAACTTGCTTTGTAGACCAGGTTAGCCTCGAACTCACAGAGATCTGCCTGCCTCTGCCTCTATGGTGATGGGATGAAAGGCGTGCGCTACCACTGCCTGGCTAAATTTTTTTTTTAAGATTTATTTATTTATTATATACACAGAAGAGGGTGCCAGATCTCATTACAGATGGTTGTGAGCCACCGTGTGGATGCTGGGAATTGAACTCAGGACCTCTGGAAGAGTAGTCAGTGCTCTTAACCTCTGAGCCATCTCTCCAGCCCCCTTTTTTTTTTTCCCCAGAGCTGAGGACCGAACCCAGGGCCTTGCGCTTGCTAGGCAAGCGCTCTACTACTGAGCTAAATCCCCAACTGGCTAAATTTTTTTAATTACAAAAATATTCATAACTTCATAAGCTTACAATTTTGTGCCAGGCTACATTCTTGGCTAGCCTTGCATGTGGGCCACAGGTTGGACACCCCCAGAAATGCACACCTTGAAGGCTCAGGTGCAGGGCCCCTTCATTCTAAAACAGGCTCCCACCTGATGTCCCACCCAAGATCTTTTTCGATGTACCTGGGACCCAACAGCAGATTCGTAGGGTCTATGAGAAAGCTATGGCCGAGAAGGGAAGTCGCTTGCTCAGGCCTCACAGCTACCACATGACAGAACCCTGCTGCTCCAGACTCGCTTCTTCCTTGGTGCCCTGCTGACTCCTAGGTGGGGTCTTGTCTTGTCAATCACCTTGACTGCCATCAGAGTTGGGATGAGGAAAGGGCACTAGCAGTACCTCACTCTGGGGTGACAGAGCCAAGGCATAATCCGCTGAGACTTGCCAGCTTGCCTGGTTGGCCCCTCTGGGAGGAGAGGCCTTCTCCCTAAGTCAAACACTTCATTAGTTTGGGAACACAGGGACACTGTTGCTAATGATCCGCTGGAGCGTGTAGGGACTGGACAGTGCTGTTGCTGCAGGCTGCGGGGGAGGGCGGGGAGCGAGTTTCAGTGAGCTGGGAGAGTTTTTCCATCATGCTGTCATTGCCCACTGATTGAGCTATCTCTCTCCTTCCAGGTGGAGAGAGACTTTGAACGGGAGTATGGAAAACTGCAGCAGTGAGTGTAAACCCCAGGAGGGTGAGATGGGAGATTGCTGGGGCACACGCTTCTTGCCAGGTCTACCTGCCCCGCCCCCTCCTGGCCAGGTCAGGCTCAGCCAAGGAGCCTCTGCACCCTTTGTCCGTTTATAGCTGGGAACCCAAGACAGCTCTAGCAGGAGACTGGCTCTGGGAGGGTCATTAGTGCACAGGCTCTGGGTGATGGGCCTCACGCAGAACCTCGGGTGGCATGGTGATCTGTGGCAGATATTGCACGGAGAGTGGCTTCCCTCCCTGCTAGGCTCACCTGAGGCAGAGAAGTGAGGCCCTAGTGCAGTGAGGCCAGGTGCCCATGCGCTCCTTGCCTTTCAGGCTGGAGGAGCAAACCAAGCGCCTGCAGAAGGACATGAAGAAAAGCACGGATGCCGACCTGGGTAAGTGGCCCCGCCCTGAGTCTGTCGAGGCAGGTGCAGCAGAGGATGCCCTGTTTCCTCAGACAAGTCACTGTGCTCAGAAAACACCACACACTGAACCTAAGAGGCCGGAGAGAGGTCATTCTCTCTGATGAGGTCGCCACTTCCCACGGGGTCCTGCCACTCCTGCTTGGTTGGACATGGGAACAGATGCTCCAGGGTCCTGTTAGGATGGTATTACAGCCAGCAGAAGCTGCTATGGCAAGTCCCTTCCCTGCCTCGGTGTCAGGGATGGAGAGAAAAGGCAGCATGACCTTCCTGGCAGAAGTCGGCAGTGTGGCAACAGCAGCCGAAAGAGCTGAGCTGCAGAGTCGGCAAGGAGAGCCAGACAAACTTCAGTATGTCCGTTCTGTCACTACAGAGGGCACAGAAAGGCCTCTGGTGAGGGCCAGCAGGGGCCAGAAGTCAGGACTAGGGAGGGCTCTTGGCTGAAGAGACTTATTCAGGAAGAACTAGGCCCAGGGGCCCAGTGACTGAGGCAGCTTCCGTCAGGGAGCATCAAGAGGCGCTGTCACTGAGTGACAGAGAACATTCCCCTTACTGTCCTCACCAAGCACAGGCCTAACAGTCCCTAACCCAACACTGCCCCTAACCTCCCTGTGCCTTGTCTGGGAAATGCCCTCATTGCTAGTCATCAGCCCCGTGGCTTGTGGTGATGGTGAAGTTGTGTGTTTGGTGTAAAGCTCTGAGAGCAGCATGATCACCAGCATGCTGCTTCTGTTAAGAGCAGCAGTACTACAAACAACAGCAACAGCAGAAGTAGCCGAAGCAAGGCTCCTGCCAAGTGGACCTTGACAGCGTCTCCAGATTCCCAGGAGAGGGATGTCTGCATGTCACTTTATAATAGGGACATCAGAGAGACAGGTGTGACCAGGGCAACCCACCATCTCCCACTTGATAAATCCTGGTTGAGAACCAACTTGTTCCAGGCATACACCTCAATGCTAGAGGTTCAACGGTGAGCTTCCGTCCTAGGAGAGAAGGCATGCAGGAAGTCAGTCACCATGTATTATAGCACCATGCAATGACCGATGCAAGAAAGGACCATGAAGGGACGGGGGGTAACAGTGCTGCTTTGGGTGGGATGAGAGCAAGGAAGCCTTTCTCGGGAGGTGCCCCTGTACCTGAAAGGGTAAGGGAGTACTCTATGTAGATGTGCCTGGGAGAACATGGCAGCAAATGCCCTGAGGTGGAGTTGGCCCTTCCCCAGTGGTTGTGCTCACTGACCCAAAGGCAGAAGTAGAATTAAGGACCCGACTTGTTCGTTCAGCCACGTGACATAACTACCTACTGCACATCCTTACGGCTGGCAGAGCGTGTGAAATGTCCGTCTTTTTTTTGTTGTTTTGTTTTGTTTTTTCGAGACAGGGTTTCTCTGTGTAGCTTTGGTGCCTTTCCTGGAACTCGCTCTGTAGACCAGGCTGGCCTCAAACTGACAGAAATCTGCCTGCCTCTGCCTCCCTAGTACTGGGATTAAAGGCATGTGTCACCACTGCCCAGCTAAATGTCTGTCTTTAAAAGGAGGAAATCATTTTGTCTAGAGGCAGAAGCTTTTTTGTTTTTAAACCTCTTATTCTTTTATTTTTAAGTGTATATGATGGTGAGGGGTGGTATGTATGTGAGTGTGTATGCACATGAGTTGCAGGTACCTGTGGAGGCCAGAAGAGGGCATCACATTTCCTGGAGCTGGAGTTACAGGCAGTTTGTAAGCCCCTTTGTGGGTGCTGGGATCTGTACTCAGGTCCTCTGGAAGAGCAACAAGTACTCTTAGCCACTGAGCATCTCTCCAGCCCACCTGCCTGTGTCAGGCTTATTTTTCTGACTGTTCTAAGCTAGGAAGCAGTGAGGGGTGGGGTGGGGTGGGGGATGGGGTGGGTACTTCACTGCAGTAACCAGACCTGTCTCAGTTTCTGACTGGCTGTCCCAATAGTAGAATCTAGATTCGGGTAGCACAGTGGTATCCAGATGTCACCTAAAAGGTCATAGGGTGGTGGTCAGCTCAGAGTGGGTTGGGAGCCTACTGTGGTCCCACTTGTCATGCAGTGGAAAAGCAAACTCTTGATAGGCCCACAGACTTGGGGTTGCCCCATTTTGCCAGGTACTAGGCCTCAGCTGGTTACTTACACCATCTTTATTCCTTCAGTAGACACTTTGAACAGCTTCAGATCAGAGAGAGAAATGTCTTCCTGGGGAGCAGCTGTGACTGCCAAGGGCCTTGCAGAGCTGCCCTCCCATGCTCAGAAGGCCAGCCTTCTTGGTCTGTGCCCCATAGCTTCCCTGCCAACCCCAGGGATAAGGGCTGGTCTGAACATGACTCCCACCTCACTTTCTGGACCCCCGTCTCCAGCGTAGGCCTGTCCTGAGCCAGGGGTCGGGTTTGGGAGCTGGTCTGTTAGATGTATTTGGGGTCTGACTTAGGTGGAGGGCCTTTGCATCACTTCCCACTGCCTTCCAGCAAGGGAGTCACTGGTACCTGCTTCCCAGACAGCTGAGTATCAGAGTAGAAATGAGGGCAGGGTTTTGTTTTCCTAGTGAGGCATGAAAAGCAAGTAGACACAGTCTGCATTCAGAGTCTGTCACATGGGTGACAGCAGTGTCACCGTGGGCTGGTGATGTGTCTCCAATAAATTGTGACTCTGGTACAGTGGGACTAGGAAAGTACTTAGAGGTGCTGACCCAACAGTTGAGGAAAATGAACTGTATGGCTTGTGTGACCTCAGATTCTCCCAAGTTCCAGGATAGGCTCTAAAATCCTCGCCGATGCTCTGAAAAGAGGATCTTCCATTTAGAAAAATTATATGACTTCCAGAGTTTTCAGAATGATCATTTTCTGAGGACTTTTGGGGGCTTCATCTGGAAGCTGTCTTGGGACCTCAGAAACACAAGGGAAGGTCTTAAGATTTTTCCCTAAGATTCAAAGACTGCCAATCTCGGGGCTAGGCCATATGGGCCATGGACCCACCACCCCTAGTCTGCAGGGGAGAAAGGCTGTTACCTGGAGCAGGGACCAAGAACGGGTGTGTGGGATTAGATTTCAGACCTAGCTGTGCCCAGGGCAGTGGCCAAGCAAATACAACATATTGGCTTCGTGTGGTTTCAGCAGGCAGAGGTCTGGGAACGTGTAAGGAATATGAGAGTGTAAGGAGAGGAAAAGGCAGGTGGAAGAGAGCCTCCACTATCCTGTGACTGTTGTTGAGATTCTTATTTTTCGTCGAATACTGTGGAGAAGACATTTTCAGAAATGTTTGCAGTTCTGTGCACATCTTTACTATCTTCTGACTGTGCTGTTTGTGATCACTTCATAAATGTTTCTTCTTCCTCCATGGCTTCAACATTTCTGGCAAGTTTACCTTTCCTCTTTGTTGGGTGACTAACCCATACCGGCTTCCATGGCAGTCTGGGCAGCCCAGCAGGCACAGCCTCTTATGGAAGGACCTGGGTGTGACAGGGACCTCTGGCAGGGCCTGAGCTTCTCCTCTCCCACATTAGAGTGTCAAGGCCCTCCTGGGGACCCGCCACTGGGCATACGCTGTCTGTTCACTGCTGGGATGGCAAAGAAGGTCCCACTTGTAATCAGCTGGGAGATGGTTCCCCCTCCATCCATTCTAAGACCCTCCTTCAGTTTAATGTCCTTGAGACCGCAGTTCTCTAGCACTTGCTAATATGGTGGTTTGGCGATTGGTGTCTTCTTTTTTTCTTTCTTAAGGCACCCGTGTGCCTTAAAATCAATAGCATCTCAAGTGCTGTGGCACTAAAGTGATAATAAACAAAACAAACTCCAGCCAAGTGTGGTAGTGCATGCCTGGAATCCCACCACTTAGGAGGCTGAGGCAGAAATCACTGCAGATTGGAGGCCCAGCTGGGCTGCAGTGAGGCCAGCCTAGACTACAGCACACTGCGCAGTTTAAAATCACAGTAACAAGACCCTTGTCTTCTGTCGCTCCTCGGCCTTGTGACTAAGATCACGTGCAGAATTTGTCTTCTGCTCTGATACTCAGCCACCTAAGTTCAGAAACGGGGGTGGACAGTGTTGAGCCGGCCTGGTCCTGCTCTAGGCCCTCGACCTACCCCTCTACAAGTTCATGTGCAAATAAGGGAAAGCTGAAAGCACGCCCAGGATCAAGAGCCTCAAGGCTGGCAGTGGGTCTCCATTCTCCTCGGTGCTGCCTGTGACTTCCGGACAGCCCACAGCACCTCAGGTGTTCACCCTCTGCCCAGTCCTGATGAGTGGACTAGCCCTGGTGTACAGTAGAGTACGGGAGAGGCCCACCTACAATGCAGGTTCTTGTAGTCTGGGATTATTGAGTTAGCGTCTTTGGAACAGAAATGTGTTATACAGCTTCCCACCCACCTGGTCCTGGAACAGCCTAGGAGTTTTTGCTCTCCAGTGATACAGTGTTTCATGGCTAGGAGTTGTGGGAAACACCAAGGAGCATGTCACATGGCTTTCTGGAGCCTCAGTGTTCTGGTAGCCATGGCCTAGATAGAGGTGATCAGGTCAGACCCCTAGGCCATAGGAGACCTTGAAACCTGGCCCTCTGGGAACTCACAGAGCTTTTCACCTCTGTAACAGCCATGTCTAAATCTGCTGTGAAGATATCCCTGGACCTACTCTCCAACCCGCTGTGTGAGCAGGACCAGGACTTTCTGAACATGGTGACAGCCCTAGACACAGCTATGAAGCGGATGGATGCCTTCAACCAGGAGAAGGTGACCAGGTCTTGTTGCCCGTGCCCAGTGCTCAGCCCTTCCCCTTGGGTCCGCCTCGATGCAGTGCCCTCAGGTCACAAGCAATGCTGGGGTTTCAGCTGCGGAAGGCCTGATATCCCCACGCCCAGCTCTTCCTAAACCAGGCTGGTCAGTTGCCCATGTCTCCGTGAGGCATGTCACTGAGGGGCCACAGTGAAGCCAGGAGGTGCTCTGTAGGGCAGCTCTGCCCACCCAGCCCTCCACACTGAGCAAAACCATCACAAACCTGTGCCAGTGGCACTGACAGGAAGAGCCTGACCTGAGACCAGACCCAGCCCTCGATGGTTTCCTGGTTGGCCTCTCCACCTGCTCTGGCTGTAGAATACAGATACTTTATCGCCTATCCCACCCCGATCCCCCTTGCCCAGCTCTCAGGATTCTGACTTGTGAGGAACCTGGAGCCTCCTCTTTTAAGAAGAGTCTAGATATCTCAGTTCGGATGCCATTTGATTCTTCTTTTGACAGGTGAACCAGATCCAAAAGACAGTGATTGAACCCCTGAAAAAGTAAGTAAGGTTATCCAAGGAAATGGGCCTCAGGGCACTTGTGGGAAAAGCAGATCAGCTAGCCCCTTGGGGACCAAGAAGCATGTCTAGCAGCATGTCCCCAGCTTCCCATGACAAGAAACAACAGGGACACCAGCCGTACATCGTGTCCCACAGTTGAGGCTCCTGGTTGCTCCAGAGCTCCAGTGCCGCCTAGTCGGTCTGTAGGGGAAGGGAGCTGCTAATGTCCATGGCGCCAGACACTGGCCCGGTGGTCTTTAGGCCCCTTCCCCTTTGCCTCTGGTTGGGCCCCGTGAGGCCCAATGCTGGCTGATTCCAGCTAGCAGAGAGCCTGGCCAGCACTCAGCAGACATGAGCAAGGCCTTTCATCTCACAGCCGGCCTGGGATGCAGCTGCCTGCAGTACTGTGCTTTGGAAACGTGGGGGTGGCCGCACATGGGGAAGGGCGCAGCAGCAGCAGCAGCCACCGCATCCTGCTTGGGAAGGTCCCCTCACTCGTGACCTGCGAGAGCAGGGAGTTCTGTGAGAGTCCGTCTTTGGTCCTGCAGGCCCTGGTCAAGGATCAGACAGGCTTGTCCTGTGGGTCCCCAGGGGAGGAGGCTGGCCCAAGCCTTGCCTTGAAGCTCCTGAGTGCTTCCTCTCTCCCAGCCTCTCCCAGCCTGCTCTGACCCAGAAAGGCTCCCGCTCTGCGCCAGCAGCTGCACTTTATTACCTCTTCTGTGGTGGTCCCTGGCAGCTGCCTTGCCAGGGCTGGGCAGTGAGCCTCTGCTTCATTATCATTAGGCCAGGATCAAGCTGGAGGGAGATGAAGAGCAGGTTTTGATCCTGCAGTCTTGGGGTGTTGGGGAGTGCTGTTGTTCCTCCCCTGTTCGGGCCCGGGTTGGGGTCAGGAAGAGCCCTCCTAACCTTGTCAGTGCTTCTTCCCGACACTGGGCCCGCAGAGCACCTGCAGCTGCCCTGAGGCCAAGCCTGGCCCATGCCCACCACCCCAGCCTCATCAGCTTGGGCTCTCGAACCCCTGCTTCATGATCAGAGCTCGTCCCCAAACCACAGGACCTGCATGAGTGCAGAAGGAGCTGTTCATTTGGTCTGCTCTCCAAGACAGGTTCAGAACTGGGTGGAAGGATCTCAGAGACGAGCCTCTGTGCACAGAGAAGTCTGCTGTGCCAGAGATGCAGGGGCCCAGCCACAGGCACCCAGAGTTGGCAGAGTTTGGCAGGACTGCCAGCTCAGAGAACTAGGGGGCTGACTACCTTCTCGATTTCACAACCAACGAGGCGGCATTGAAATCGGATCCCTGGCTTCTGCAGCCAAGTAGAGAGAAACCCCGGCTGCTTCCCACCATGCTAGCAGCCCACCACCTGCCAGGAAGGTGGGGGCGTGGCAGAGGGGGCGGCCACCATCTCCGCCATGGATCCGCTGACCTCTGTGTGAGCCTCAGGCCTGGCTGGCTTGTGCAACCCACAGCCAGAATACAATCCCCCATGACCACATAAACCACCACTGCCTGCTCCCTCCTCCCAACTTGCTGCCTTTTGCCAGAAGAGAAGCTCCCAGGGACCCCATCACCGGAAACAGGAAACTGCAGCTTTCCTGTCCTCTAATGAAGATCATGGCCACCCTGTCGCCCCCAGTGTCCCCCGCAAGGGGGGCTTGGTCTCTAATCCCCCAGTCTCTGGGTTGTTCACATGTCGGATGGGGATGCTTTCAATTTCCCTTTCCTGGTGGGTGGAAGATCCCGGCTGTGTGGGCACAGATGAGGAATGGCAGGCATCCCCACCAGGCCGGCTGCTCCCAACCCACCTCCCAGCCGGCCTCTTTCCCTCCCCACTCTCTCCTCACCCCACGCTTTACCTCCCTGGGGAGCAAGCCTGGTGTTGAACCCTATGCCAGGCAAGAAATGGGTACCTCCTAGGTTGAGCTCCCTGGAGCCCTGGTGTAGACCTAGGCCCACCCCCCATCTTTGAAGATCAATGTGCATCAGTCTTAGGCACTTACAGACTGGGGACTCAGGCAACGGAGCCCAGGCGTGTGTACTGCCATATTGAGCAGGGACAGTGTCCCAGCCACTCCCGTAGCCTAAGTCTGTCTAGTCCCTCGGCATGGTAGAGTTGGTACCTAGAAGCAGGGTTAGCGTGCTTGAGGATGTATGATTTGAGCAAGGCCAGGAAACAATACGGCCTGTCTCTTACCACTAATTTGTCAAGGGGCAGCTGAGACCAGCAGAGGATCTGGCTTCTCTACCGTGTGTCTTTGGAGCAGGCCAGTAGAAATGGAAGCTTGGTGCCTTGAGGAGAGCTGGTCCCATGCATCATCCTTGCCAGGAGGTCAGCAGGAACCCTATTAGGTCCCATTAGCATATTTGGGAAAGGTCCCGCCACAGGGGACCAGCCTGCAGCTGTCCTCACTTCTGCACCAGCCACCTGAGTTAGTCCACATCTGGAGTGGATCCTGCTATCAGGTAACTGGCAACATCTGTCCAAGGCTGAAAAGTAGAAAATACAAAATGGAGGCTTGGTGGGACAGTGAGCAGGAATTCTGCCCTCCATCACCTTAGGACAGGCGCTCTTCCTATGAGTGCCATTAGTAGCCCCCTCAGATGAAAAGAACATGACACCTGTCCCTTGTCTCAGGGCCTACCGGTCCTAGGCCCAGAGCTACCCAGATTTCCCTTTGTGAGTGACTCATCTCCAGTAGTCTAAGCTACTAACCAAGCTCAGGTCTCGATCAGATCTTCGTTTGATTGATGAGTACTGCTGAAGGAGACAGATCTGAGGAAGACATGTGAGTCCCCCAAGAGTCAGGAGTCCCCAGCAGGGCAGCAGGACCAGTTGCAGCTGCAGACAGTGGGGGTCTTGATTCCTGCAGGCTCCTAAGCAGGAATCCGTGCTTTTAAGTAGTGAATGGTGTGTAGAGACCACATGCCCCAAGGCTGTAACCCCTAGTCTGTGGTGGCCGTGGTCTCCCAGCTCTGCACTTTGACCTGTGCTTGCATTGTGGGTCCTTCATGAGCTGGCCAGGTCATGAAGTGTTAGTATTAATATTCCTGATAGGTGTGACTTGGTCTTGAAGATGACAACCATGGAAAGGGACTGGGACCATGGGCTAATGTCCAAGTTGTACTGAGACTAGCATTGCACCAAGGTCATTTCACACCTGCAGGATGCCCTTCACACATTGCTTTGTTTCTTGTGATGCCCACCCCACCCCTACCCCTGTCTCCCCTGTCCCCAGAGGTGAGTTCCAATGAGCAAAGAGATTGTGTGGCCTGGGCAGGAAAGTACTCCACCTCTGCCTCTTGCCGACATGTCTCTCATTCTTGGCCCTGGGGCCACCCAAGCAGCAGGCTGCTTCTGACAACAGGATCAAGCTTCTGGGACCCTTTGTTCTCTTGGGATAGAGGGAGGGGCAGGGTGGTAGGTTCTCAGGCCGAGGCACCTGTTCCCTTGAGCCACACACTGCTCAGCTGCCCAGGAAGGGAGAGGGGCTCCAGAGCAGCTGAATGGCCAGGCACAGCTGCCTCGACATAGGCAATGTGACCGGCTCCTGCCAGTGGGACCTGGTGGTGCCCCCTCCCCACATCCATTTTGCACAGAGCCACATGGGTTCACACCTCCCCCCTGTTAAAGCACCTCGTCAAGTCTTGGTTTGATTACTCTACAGAAGGTCCTGTGGCTGAGGCTTCAGAGAAATTCTGACAGCCTTGAGCCCGGAGCGTTTTCAGGAAAGTGATGCGCCTGCTTAGAAGGTTAAGTTACAGGAGTTGGTTTTAGTGACCTTTGAGATGAAGCCCTTTGTTCCACGGGGATCTGCTCCCTGAACCTGTTGCTTGTTTGGGTACCCTGATGCCTGGCTGGGTTTACATTCTGCTCTCTAGCAGGAGTATGCTTTACTCTGGTCTGTGTGTCCCTGACTTGTGAGAAGCTTTTAAGTACCGAATTCATAATCATGTCCTGTAAGGAGCAGAGGTTGGGAATGGTGCTTCCTGTGGTATCAGAACCTACCCTAAGCATTCAGATGTTCTCTCAGCACTGATGTGTGTGAAAGGCTGGCCTCAGCCACTGCCTGGGGTCCCACTGAGAAGATCCCATCCCCTGACTTCTGTTTGCCTGCTTTGTTGCCCTCTCTGGCTCTTCCTGGATTAGCTGACTCTTCCGGTCCCAGGTCACCAACAGTGACTCTCCACCTGAGTGACCAGAGATATTGAGTCCATATCGTACCAGGCTGTCAGAGCTCCTGGCTGGCACAGTGGGCACCTCATGGTGTGGTAGGAAAGCCTTGTACAGCACCAAGGTCAGCTACAGCCCCTCAAGGCTTTGCATACCCCATTTTCTCACTTCCAGGAGAGCTGCTTACAGGGTTGCCTTGCCTCCATCCTTCATCTGTGTCAAGAAGAATGTTTACTCTTGCCTGGGCCCCCGAAAAGTGACTCTCCCCTCGGATCATAGAAGATACAGTGGCCCTCCATGGGGAAAAGGTGGCCCTGATGATGATAGTTACACTCAAATGCCAAAACATTTCAAATGCAACCCTCTCTGAATGGCCAGTCCTCTGAGTGTCATGCTCCTTTTCAGTCATGTTGGGTAGGAGGGGCTAGGGCTGTCTCCTAAAGTGTGGTTTTTCCCTTGGTTCTTTTAGTGGGGAAACCATAGTGTTTGTGTTTCTCCACAGTGTGAAGGGACCCTTAGCCAGACTCTTAATTCTTTTTTCTCACCTGTCAGTGGCACTGTGGTGTGGTAGGATAGGTGCTGGTAAACTTGGACACTCAGGGTCCTTTCTGGACCCTTACTACCTGATTGTGGCCTTGGCCTTCCCTTTTTGTTTGTTTTGGTTTGTTTTTTAGCATATTCAGGAGTATCCCAGCCCTGCCGTTCCCTGTGATGGGGCTCAGGGTGTGTAGGGAGACAGCCACAAGACAAAGAGCTGTCTTCCCAGCCCACCGTTGGGGTCAGTACTGCCTGCTGCTCCCCATAACATCCTACCAGCACAAGTCCCAAAGCTGCAGAGCCCTATGGCTCTGGCACATAGTAGGTGTGTCCTACGTGTTTCTGAGTAAGTGGTGACTGTCAGATACACCTCCACATGACAAGCCTGTTTCCAACCAGGCTGTGCCCAACAGGTTTGGCAGCGTATTCCCGAGCCTCAACATGGCAGTGAAGCGGCGGGAGCAGGCCTTGCAAGACTACCGGAGGCTGCAGGCCAAGATGGAGAAGTATGAGGAAAAGGAGAAGACTGGCCCGGTGCTGGCCAAGCTCCACCAGGTACCGAGGGAGAAGGCAGGAGGGGGCAACAGAACAACCATTGCCACGAGGGCCTCGCTTGGGGACCAGCAGACCCAGGACACTAGCTGTCCCCACACCCTGCCCTCTTCAGTGACACCAGGGTCTTGTTCTCCAGGCCCGAGAAGAGCTGCGGCCTGTACGGGAAGACTTTGAAGCCAAGAACAAACAGCTCCTGGATGAGATGCCACGATTCTATGGCAGCCGACTTGACTACTTCCAGCCCAGCTTTGAGTCCCTGATCCGGGCACAGGTGAGGCGAGACTCTTCCCTTGGGAAATGATCTTTGTAGGAACCTAGTACCCATTAGATGTAGCTATGCTCTGCACAGACAGCAGCACCTCCCTGCCCCAGGCACTATGGGAATTCATGTCAGCCCTGGTGCCCAGCACTGATATTGTGCTGGAATTACTCTTGGGCATCCTCCATTGCCAAATCCACTTAATCCCAGCCCTATGATGGACAAGGTTCCTTTTTGTTTAACCCTTTCTCTACCCCTTGAGTTCTTCCTACATTCAAGCAGCAAGACCCCAGGCTGCATCTTTAGCCTCCTTTAACTGGCCAGGCCTTTTGCAGAAGTGGTTGAGAGGCCAGTAGAGTGAATGCCTGAGGACCCAACAGGAGACTTCCATTAGCAGGAGACCACAGGAACCCTGACTGAGCTTCCTAGGGAGGGGTCCTGGACCAGCTCTGAGATTCTGGCAACTAGGTATAATGCTCCCCCTAGTGGAAAGACAGTGGAGTGCAGGCTGGCATGGGAGTGGCCGCCAGAGAGAAGGACGCAGCCCAGTGTCTCCTGCCACTGGGGTGGAGGGCCCAAATGGGATGCCATGCAGCTCCCGCCCTCCCCTCCCCATTCATCTTCAGGCAGATTTTAGCTAGGATTGTTCTCCCCGCTGGCATGGTGGGAGAGGCAGTGGTACCAGCCAGGAGCAGCTCTTCTCCACATGGACTCCCCGCAACTGATCACAGGTGCTGGCTCAGGACCCCAACACTAACTGGTCCCCAAGCTAAAGGTTTCCTGTCCCCAAGCTCAGCCTGCCATGCTTGTCTTGCCTGGGCCTCTGGTGCCCTCCAGTGGACATCATCATTTCCTTGTTGCTCCCTTAGTCACAAATGCCCTGAGTAAAGCCTGATTCCCACTTCCCATCCTTCACTTTTGGGTGACACCCAAAGCCATGGGCTAAAATGCTTGACATCAAGAAGCCCAAGCAAGGTTTGTCCTGGAGCCTAGACTTGCTCGTGACCCGTGTTTTCAGTCTGGTGCTCTCTAGGGAGCGAGACTGAGACAGCAAAGGGACTGTTGTCCCTGCAGACGAGGGCCACCTTCCAGCTGCCGCACCCTTTGTTTGGATGAAGAGTGGGTTTAGAGGGGAGGTGTTGGCCTGCCCCCTTTTGCTATGACACCTACCTCTGCTTCCAGTGACCTGTGTCCACCATCCCCACCCCAGATCCTTAGAGGAAGCTGCAGGGTACCCAGGCAATGGGGTGCCCTGTAACCAAGCAGCAGGGTAGCCAGGGTTGTTTACCGCCCGACCTGTGCCAGCATCCTCCTCACCCGGCTGCTGCTGCTGCTGCTATTAGTCATTAGAGAAGTGAGCATCCCGGTGACTCACCAGGCAGCGTGGCCCAGGCAAGGAATTGGGGGCCTCCCCAGCTGCGGTTTCTGGGGAGACTTCCTAGGACACCACTCCCACCCTCTGGACACCATCCTCCAGTTTCTCAAAGGGAGGAGGATCCTGGAGACAGTCTCAAAGCTGAGGTCCTTGAAGAGCAGAACGTGGGACACTTTGATGAGTGTGCACTATCATGTCAGGGAGTGGAAACTGAGGCAGAAATGGCCTCTGACCTCTGTAGAAGTCATCATCTACCATCTGGAGAAACTCCATGCTTGGACCTGTCATTCACACACCCTCGCTGGTGCTTTTCATCTAGGCAGCTTAACCTGGATGCGATCAGGAGCACAGTGGGGAGGGGTGGCGTCTGGGAAGCTGTCACCTCCCTTGACTTCTCGAACCAGCTCTCAAGGCTTGGGCAGCCAGTGCCTGCCATGTTCTTTTTCCATGACCCAAACCCCCTGGCTCCTCCCAGCTTAGGAAAGGCAGTAAACCCAGGCCTGCCCTCAGCCACCTTCAGATGCATAGTCCCCTTTCCATACTAGATGTTTTGGAGAGCCAGGAGTTTAAAGGGCCATGCTTCCTTTACAACCCCATTCCCCAAGGAACTACTGACTCTCTACTATAAACCTTTCTCCGCAGTAGACGTTCCCAAAAGCCTCGGCTGTGGTTCACCCATCCCTAGGCTGGCGGGTGATAGAGCGAGATCTGGCAGGTAGTGATGGAGCAAGAACGAGCCCCCGACCCGCTTCAGCAAGAAGCAAGCTTTAGACCCAGACCCCGGCCCTGCTTGAACTCCTGGCTGCTTCACTGAGTGGGTGGCTGTGTAGACCCGAAGTCCAGTTCCTACCCACAACTCTTGCCTCTTCCCCAGGTCGTGTACTACTCAGAAATGCATAAGATCTTCGGAGACCTCACCCAGCAGCTTGACCAGCCAGGCCACTCAGACGAGCAGCGGGAGCGGGAAAACGAGGCCAAACTAAGTGAGCTCCGAGCCCTCTCCATCGTGGCTGATGACTGAGCCCCAGTCCCTCAGGAGTCCTTAGACTCCTTGGGACACAGATGACATCTCTGTAGTCTTCGCTCTTAGCAGGCATGGATTCATGCCTGACCTCCCAATGGTCTGCCAGTTGGAGACAGGTGGTCACTAGTCTACCTTGCCAGTCCTCTGACGTGAATGTCTCCATCTCCTTGAGCTGATATTGGGAACCTCACAGGCTGCTGTTACCCCCTGCCCAATGCTGATAAGCAATGTAGAAAAAACCCAGGGGCCTGTTTACTTCCAGAACCGTCCAGAATGTGCTATATATACTGTCTGGCCAGCAGGAGCTTCGGCCTTTAGAAGGGTCTGGGCTTCCTGTGTAACTTGGGGGCCTTAGCTCTGACTACCTCCAGAGGACCTACTCTAGGGAATCCACCATCCCCTCCCCTCGTGACGCTTCAGCCTGTTGGGTGAGAGGCAGGGCCCTGGGGAGCAGCACTCTGGTCCCTCTGCTGCGGTGGGCCCCTCATGCCAACATAACCCAAGCTGGTCCCCTGCAGGTCCAGCTAGGGACAAGGCCTGGGTGTTTACCTTTCCCTGGTACACGGACTTTGTTTCTAGCTGACTACTATACAGAATGTCACACGTTGGTCCACAGGCCTCAAAGCAAGGCTGTGTCTCACCTGTGTTGTTGGAATTTTATTTTCAAGTAAAGTTTCCAGTAAAACACTAGTGTGCTGTAACTGATACCATGGGAGAGTTGCCACAGCTTTGCCAGAGCCCTGCCAACTTGGCAGAGGGCCTTCATTCAATCACAACCTGTGGCAGCTCACTGCCTGCCTGCCTGCCTTCTAGAGCCTTCTGGAGCCTTCTGGAGAGAACTGAGGATTGGCAAGCAGGGGGAGCACAGGCAGCTTGGAAAAAGAGGAAAGCCACAAGGACACACTTGGTTTGTTTTTGACTTTGGTTTATTTAAAAAACAAAAAGCCAAAAAAAAAAAAAACCAACAAACAACTTTATATACAAAGTCAAACTGAAACCACGAATTATGGAAAGAGGCAAGAATTGTGGGAAACGGAAGAGGGCTGGGCCAGAGCCAATACCACATTCTGAACACAAGGGCTAGAGAAAGAAGTGCTGGTTCTTCTGGCAAGTTGGGGGGTGGCTGGAACCCAGTGTTCTATTGGCAACCTTGACCCAACACCAAGTGCTTCCGAGCATGGGCTCCATCACCTAACAGATACTGGAGCCTACAGGACTCGTGGCGTCCAGAGGAAGGACATTCTGGGCTGTGCCAGGCTCTACACCCGTCCCTTCCATTTATTGGCATCAGACCTATTCCAGGCTGGAAAAGCCTTTTCCTCCCGTCTTGCTCTAAAGTGGACGAGGACAGGAGACAGCACAAGACTACAAGGGCCCTGGGAGAAATTCCAAGGTTGAGGGCAAAATGACATTCTAGGGGTGCAAAAGATGTTGTATTTAGTTGTAGCTGGAACTGAGGTTCCGTGCACATCCATCCACATAGCACAACCCCCATTCTGTTAGCTTGGTCACCCCTGCAGAGGCCAGGCACAGAACTCAGCCACCTCTGCTGTGGCTCCCAGGCCCTGCTCCAGCTGCTCTCTGGTACCCAAGAGGCTCGAATGTCATCAGGCTCCATCACAGACCTCACTAGACAGCCACTCAGTTGCTGGGTGCTGGCTCCTCTTTCTCTACCCAGCTGTCAGCCTGTGTGAGCACATGTAACAACGGTAAGGATGAGGCTTCTCCCCATGTCCTACCACTAGAGTACAGAGCACGGAGAGCAGCTGAGTCTCCTAAGATCCCGGTGGACGGAGGACCAGTATGGCAAGGAAGGGCTGGCTCCCTGCCAGGCCTCTCCACACAGACGCTAGCTCTGCTCTCAAGTTCTTGAGGCGGCCACCCTTCAGCCATCCTACCTTTTCAACCATCCGCTGCATCTCCAGGTGCAGCGGGGTCAGGCGTCTGCGGAAGTCCTGCAGCTGCCGCTGAAGCTGGTTCTTGTGTCGTTCCGCTGTCCGGGCTGTCTCCTCCGCCTCCACCAGCCGGGCCCGCAGCTCCTGCGTCTCTGCCGCCAGTGTCTTATTTGTCACTTCGGTGGCTGAGAAACGGTTATGGCTCTCCTCTGAAAGGGGGGACGCGGCAGAAAGGCTCTGCTCAGCCCACTGGAGCATGAGCCAAGAGCCCCGAGGCCTAAGGAGTGGTGTCCCCTTAGTCCCCGTGACATCTGCACTCGCTCACCAAGCTTCAGTTCCAGTGTGTGAATCTTGTTCTCCAGGTACAGGCGGCCACTGTCTTGCTGCTCGGCACGCTGTAACAGACTCCCCACGTTGATGAGGCTACCATTGTGTGGCACCAGGCCTTTGTGCTCTGTGGGGGCAGCACCTGGCTTTGTGCTCTTCCCTGAAGGGGGCAGCAGATCCAGGTTTCCTAGAGGAAACAAACAGACATGACCTTAGGAGGAGAGAGTAAGCCACCATGGAGGTCACACTCCCTACAGGCCACAGAGCTCAAGGCCTACCAAAGAGCCCCTCCTCCGGAAGCCCGTCATCCAGCACCTCGGCACGGCTGTACTGAAGACTCCGGTACTGGCAGATGTTCTGCGTCACTACTCTACTAACCAGCTGCTTGGCCTGTGGAAAACACAGCAGGACACCTACTGGCCACACACTTGCCTCAGGGGGACCGACCGGAAGCTAGCAAGAGCTCTGGCAAGGCCCTCCAGAAGGACAGGTGGGGCCGAACTACCTGCTCAGCACTGAGCCGGATCCCCAGGGTGAGGAGGGCCCGCTCCAAGTCTCGCCGGTGCAAGTAGCCACACCAGTTGGCATCAAAAAACACAAAAGCCAGAAGGCAGTCCAGGGGGAGCACAGCTGAGGGGTCCAGCTCCTTGGGCTGCAAAGAGAGCAGAGAGACAGGCTTTACAGACGATCATTCTCAAGGCTGAGGCATGGCACACGCACAGCCTCTCCCGGCCAGGGCTGGGCTGACAGCAGCTGCAGGCAGGACCTCCCACTGGAAGCTCAGGCTGGGGCTACGGCCTCTGTGGGCACATCCCAGAATGCGGTGTGTGCCCTAATCAGATCCCTCTCCCATCCACCCTCACGGGGAGAATGAAGTCTCCATGAGTCAAGAACCAGTCGTCTCTGTTCTAGGGAGGAAGTCACTGGTCGGCATCGCTCACCCAGGAAGGACCACATTTCCCACCACCAAGGCACAGAAAGAGACAGGGTCTCACCATGTCCTGAAGAGAGGAATATTCCATCTCCGACTGGTTTGAGGTGACAGAGCGAACCTCCGTTTCCTCCAACTTTGCTCCTGCTACAGAAATCCCAAGCTTAACATGTAGCAAGGATGATGGTCTACACGCCTAAGAGCAATGGTTCTCAACCTGTGGGTCACAACCCCTTTGGGGGTCATACGTGTCTGTCACAGAGATCGCCTAAGACCATTGGAAAACAGATTTTTTTTGGGGGGGGGGGTTGGTTTTTCGAGACAGGGTTTCTCTGTGTAACTTTGTGCCTTTCCTGAAACTCACTCTGTAGCCCAGGATGGCCTCAAACTCACAGAGATCCACCTGCCTCTGCCTCTGCCTCTGCCTCCCAAGTGCTGGGTGGGATTAAAGGCATGCGCCACCAACACCCAGCAGAAAACAGATATTTATGATTCATAACAGTAGCAAAATTAGCTATGAAGTAGCAATGAAAATAATCTTATGGTTGGGGTCAGCACAACATGAGGAACTGTATTAAGGGTCACAACATTAGGAAGGTTGAGAACCACTGCCTAAGAGGAAACGACCACAGCCAGCCCCAGAGAGCCACTACCCCCAGACACACCAAACTCCTCCTCTCCATCATCCCTCAGAAGCAGCAGGTCTGGGTCCAAGGCCATCTCACAGAGGTCCTCAGCTGCCTCGCCCCGGGCCTTCTCCTCCTCTTCTCCCCCTGAAGAGGGCCGTTTGGGCAGAAGCCCATCCTCCTTCTAGAAAAGCAGACCAAGGTGGTGAGGACGAGCAGGACTCTTGTGACACTAACAGTAACAGTTGCTAACACTCAGGTATCAGCTGTGTGCTGGGTACTGTATGATCTACCATGTGCTCATGGGTATTTAGCCATATCAGGATTCAGATCCCAGGGGCACATCTAGACCCCTGGGGTATTTCTCAGGAATCAGTCTTAGTTCTAGAAGCAATTATGTGTACATGACAATATTTGGACAAGAAGCCAAGCTCCATTCTAGAAATGGGTAAAGACCAGTTTGTCCACCTAACCATCAGGCAATCCCAACTCCTAAGCAGTCTGACTGGCACTTCTATGCTGCATGGCTTAGCCACACTTCCCTCCCTCTTCTGGGCCACTTCCTAGCTGTGTGGCCACATGCAGGGTTTCATCCTCCTGGGCCTCAGCCCTCCCCAACTTTCAAAGAACAGGTGACATAAAGGAGCCATGCAACTGGACATGCAGAGTACCTAGAACAGTGCCTGACACACGTGAGGGACTCGACTCATACTAAACGTTATAACATGTGGGCCTGAGGCCACCCAGGCTGAGAGCGGTACTCACCAGTGGGTTGTCTGACTCGGCAGCTGTGCCCTCATTCTGTACCTCATCCTTGGACACCTTCACCACCTCCTCTTTGACCACATCCTCCTTGGCTGCCTCCTCCTTCTCAGGTTCAGGGGGAGATACAACTTTTTCTGGAAGGCTCAGCAGCATCTTATAAATCCTATAGCCAAAATCCCTCTGCAGCATCTCTAGAAACAGCTCAGCCAGCACCACCACCTGTTGGAAGAGGTGCAGGGACCACAGCATCAGGGAGTTGGACGAGGATGCCGATACCCTTCATCACACTCATGGCCTCTCTCCTGCACTTGCCTCAAAAGAGATCCTTTCTTTTGGTCTCCGATCCTCCACAATCCCGTGGAGAGACAGGTTGACACAGCCAGGACGTGCCATCACAGCAGGTTCTAGAGGAGGCGGAGGGGCCTCTGGGAGATCAGTGTCCACATCTTGCTGCGTGGTGGCCTCTGACGTCTCCGTGTTCTGTGTAGGCGCGTCTGCTTGCTCTGATGCATCAGGGGCCTGTTCAGCAGGCCCTGCCTCCTGTGACAATAGCTCAGGTGTGACCTTCTGGGCCCTGAGATCAGGGCACCTACTTTTGAGATAGGGGCTCATGTAGCCTAGGCTAACCTCAAATTCACTATGAAGATGAGAACAACTTTGAACTCTGGATCTTCCTGCCTCCACCTCCCCAGTGCTAGAGTTAGAGGCTTGTGCCACCATGCCCGGGTTCCCTGCGTTTTCCTAAGGCCCAGCCTTACCCCCAATGCCTCCTGGGGTTGGGGAGCTGCCTCTGTGGCTTTCTGCTGGCACAGTGCCTCCCACTCCTCCAAAGTGGGCATGATGGTCCACACGTCTGGCAGGTATACCACTACCGTGTGTAACTGCCGGGGTGGCCCTGGCTGTAAGTATTGAAACTCGGCAAATCGCCACCTGTTCGCAGCAAAAGGAAAAGAAAGTCCCCCACTGTGACATATTCACAGGTGTCCCACTCACAGACAAGTACCTCTGTTTCCAATCAGCACTCCATGCGCACATGCTGCATGCCAAGCCATGAGTACAAACATAAAGCCACACGCCCAAGCCTCAGCGGCTAGGCAACAGGGAGACGTAGTAAACAGACAGCACAGAGAAGCACTAGGGCATTCA